TCTACGTCAATATAACGTTGGGATGTGACGTTTGGAAGACGTTGGATTTGGGTTACTTTACATCACAACTTAAAACCAACAAAATATCAACGTCTATTGATGTTAGAATGTTATGTCAATTTGACATTAAGGTTATGACGTTAAATAGACATCAGGTTTTGGTCACCATACCTCACGACTTCATGTCAGTTTTCTACGTCAATCTGACGTTGGGATGTGACGTTTGGAAGACGTTAGATTTTGGTTACCTTACATCACACCTTAAAACCAACAAAACATCAACGTCTAATGATGTTAGAATGTTACATCAATCTGACGTTAAGGTTATGACGTTAAATAGACGTTGGATTTTGGTCACCATAAATCATGACTGCATGTCAGTATTCTACGTCAGTATGTTGTTGGCATGTGACATTTGGAAGACGTTGGATTTTGCTTAGTTTACATCATACCTTAAAACCAACAAAATATCAATGTCTAAAGATGTTAGAATGTTACATCTATCTGACATTAAGGTTATGACGTTAAATAGACATCAGGTTTTGGTCACTATACCTCGTGACTACACGTCAGTATTCTACGTCATATTACGTTGGAATGTGATGTTTGGAGAACTTTAGATTTGGGTTACAATACATCACAACTTAAAACCAGCAAAATATCAACCTCTAATGATGTTAGAATGTTAAGGCAATGTGACATTAAGGTTATGACGTTAAATAGACGTTGGGTTTTGGTCACCATACCTCACGACTGCATGTCAGTATTCTACGTCAATCTGACGTTGGGATGTGACGTTTGGAAGATGTTGGATTTTGGTTACTTTACATCACACCTTAAAACCAACAAAATATCAACGGCTAGTGATGTTAGAATGTTACGTCAATTTGACGTTAAGTTTATGACTTTAAATAGACGTTGGGTTTTGGTCACCATACCTCACGACTGCATGTCAGTATTCTACGTCAATCTGACGTTGGCATGTGACGTTTGGAAGACGTTGGATTTTGGTTACTTCCAACAATTCCGTTACTTCCATCAATTTGACGTTGGAATTAGACATTGTGTGTATGTTGAATTTTGGTCATCCAACGTCACGACCAACATTCAACCAGATATCAACGTCTTTTGACATTGGGGGCCAGCTGGGCTGTCTGTAAACACACCTGAGTCAGGTGAGCAGCGCTACAGTTACACAGAATCAACAATAAGGCATAAAATAATAACATAAATATGTTCTTACAGTTTTCACAACTGCTAAGAAGTGTTTTCAGTACCAAGTTCTGTTTGGACCCAACCACCAACAGGTTTTCCATGATTTAAATATGCTCAGTGATGATCCTTCCCAGAATTCTTTCATTCTTCTCTCATTCAGTCTCAGTCTTTAACCAAACTGCGCATGTCTAAAGATGAATCCTCACACACTGTTACAGAACCTTTAGACCGAACTGCAGAACCAAACATATCAGTGTGATCAACCAGAAATACTGTATCCAACAACAACCACAGCCAAAATAACGATACTGTTTATGGAGTCAAACTGCTGATGGTGAGTAAACAGGCTGATCACAGCTCAGTCCAGCCCACATACTGACCATCTATGAGAGGGGTCACTTCTGGAGTTCTTTAGTTTCTTTAGTTCACATTAGACGGAGCATTACAGGCACAGAGCCATACAGAGTAAGTGCTTATCTGTACGTGTATCAGCAAGAGGGGTCATCAGGCGTGATGTGGACGAGACCGTGAGGCCGGACGATGCAGAGCATTTACAGTGTCTGTGAGTTTTTACTGTACTAGAATAATGTAAAGAAGGATTGGAAGGATGTGTGTAATGAAGTGGTGACCTATTGCTCCATCTGCAAATCTGCCAGCAGAGAGACGTTTAAATGCAGTGTATCTGTTTATCTATGAGCTGATGAGCAGTGAGATCACAGACCATTAGTGTAACATGTCAAATTAGCAAATTAGTACAGCAGGAAATCATCATTGATCTTTAGTTCAGACATAAAAAAGTGTTTTTTATTGTAAGTCAGTTATTCTTTTGAAAACCCTTCCAATGAAACCAGTTACTCTAAGGCACAAACAGGTCACATGACTGGTAAACCGAGAGAGAGAGAGAGAGAGAGAGAGAGAGAGACTGTAAATGATCTCTCAGGCTTGTTCCTGGTTGTTATTGGGGGGTGACACTCTGTTCTTCTCTGGTGGTCCAGCATCGTAATAGAACATTTTAGAACCAGGACAAACGTCAGGAAGCAGCACTGTGAGTTATCAGTCACACTTCACTGTCCTGATCATTTCAGCTAAAGCTGTTCACTGAAGAAACACCAGGGAATCATGGGATAATACACACTTTATTTCATACAGAGGAGTATAACAGTAATAAATAGCAGATAAATAAAAGCCATAAAAAGCTCTCATACCTTTAAAAACACTTCACACTCAGCACTTTCACAAAGAAAGAATAAAACCCTGCAGGAACAGCAGCACCAGTGCATTCTGGAAACTGGGGTCCAATTAAAGAGCTGTAATGCTGGATTCCTCCAGTTTAGGAGGGTTCGTGATGACCAGCACCCCCTAAAGTATTTATTGGGCCCCTCAAATTCTTATTATATTATTACTGAAACTCATGACTCACAGAGAGATCCAGTTTCTCAACCAGCTTCCCAACACATTCATCAACACGGACAGAAAGAAATGATGACCATTTATGATGACCAATGAGAACCGCGTTGCTTGAGCCGCAGACCAAACTGCGGAGAGCTCGGAGGCGGAGCCAAATTTCTAGGACTGCGCTGTTCGGGGATCGAGCCTGACTATCTGCACTGCTGGCTGCATGAGGCTCGCGCTGTTCGGGGATCGGGCTCAAACTCCCGGAGGCTCGTGCTGTTCGGGGATCAGGCTCAGACCTCCAGAGCCTCACGTTGTTCGGGGATTGGGCTCAGACCTCTCGAGGTTCGCGTTGTTCAGAGATCGGGCTTAGACCTCCGGAGCCTCGCATTGTTCGGAGATCGGACTCAGACTTGAGAGATCCTGAAGAGCTCCTGAGGCTAGGGTTGTTCGAAGATCCAGCTCAGAACTCTGGAAACCAGCGCTGCTGGAGGTGAAGACCAGAGATCCTGAAAAGCTCCTGTTCTGCAGGCACTGAAGACGAACCGCAGCTCGTCCACATGAGAAGTGTCAGCACTGCTGGCTGGCCGGAGTATTTATTCTGCGCTGTCCAGGGATCAGGCTCAAACTCCCTGAGGTTCGAGCTGTTTGGGGATCAAGACTGACTCCCGGAGGCTTGTGCTGTTCGGAGATTGGGCTCAGACCTCCATAGCCTTGCGTTGTCCGGGGATCGGGCTCAGACCTCCGGAGGTTCGCGTTGTTCGGAGATCTGGCTCACACCTCAGCAGGCTAGCGTTTTTCAGAGATTGGGCTCAGACCTGAGAGGTCCTGAGATGACTCTGCAGTGTTTTTGCAGCTGTAGAGCAGTTTGAGTGTAAAAGATGTGCTAACCTGCTTTAGAAGGGTGTGATGAGTTTTAAGAAAGTGAACTTGTCATGGACGATTGCTTCTGAGTGACTATAAATAATGGTAATAAAAAATAAAAAAAAACAATAAAAAACTGACCACACACAGATAATCACAGATGTATTAACATGAGGCTTCAATAGAATTAAGAACAGCATAACCTGAAATCAACTGCCATCACCGTGGTACATCGAACACGATTGTGAAGCTATGAGCAGGAAGGAATCTCTGGGTTCCTCTTCAAGTGATGTTGCACACACTTCCAGGTAAGTTCAAGTGCTCTTAGTTGATCATCCAGTTAAAGACAGTATTTATAGCAGTACTGAAGGTTTAAAAACAACATTCATTCCTTTAGTGACTCTATCAGCTCCTCAGCTAAGGTCCTCAGTCACTCATGCTCACAGACTAAACATCAGTCTGAAGAACATAAATACGTCTGGAGGCCAAACAGACTACACACTGTGGGTCCCTTCAGCCTGTCCTCCATTAACCCAGGTAACCCCTAAGGTCTGGCTTTATACTCTGAGCCCCGCCCTAATTGAGGTTGGAATATACCAGTACAGATTACAGGGGTAACAGTTCACCACTGGCTCACCATCCACCAATAATGTATGGAATATCAACAATACATACATAGCCATTTCTGCTTATATAGGCACAGCTTTAATTCACTCTCTTTCCTCTCCACAGGTGTCTCTCCTATGAGCTGTAATGTCTTAATCAGTCTCGGTGGTGTGTCCTGGCCAATGACATCATGACACCCTCCCTGGCCACTTCGGAAACCCATTCACTTCACCGTGCTGGTGTACAGTTAGAGACTGAAGAACATCTGTAGATGTACAGTTTCATTCTCTAGACATTCATCAACAGTCAGTTTCTGATCACAGAGCTGCTTTTAAAACACACAGTGATTTCAGTCTCATGTGGTTTGTCCATGTAAAGGACAGTGAAATAACTCTGATATCACATTCTCAGTAAAGTCTCAATAAAGAAACATTGGAGCTGCTTCTGCTGAATGGAGCTCTTCAGCACCAGTTTGTGGAATATCAGTAAATGATCTTGGCAGTAAATGACTTTTTGGTATTTTTTATGGCATCACTGTCTGACACTTTGGTGGCAAGTAGGTGTGCAGGTCCCTTTGGTTTCAGAGCTTGTCTAATAATGTCCTATAGACATATAAAAACACTGGGTGTTCTGGACTAGAACTCAGTAGCAGCCTTTAGAGTTAGTTTTAGATGTTTAGAGTTAGACAGAGACTAAAGTAAAGCTCAGTTAGGGCCGCTTACATTAAAGCTCTGTAGATGAAGAGCAAGCAGTGCTGGACTGTCCATATGGCTACACACAAACAGCCGCTCTCACACACAAGCGTTCCATTCGTTTCCATTTGTTCCACAAATTTTAAGAGAACACGCAAAAAGTCAGTAAAAGAAAATGTGCAGACTTTGCACAAAGTCCTGAAGAGGATGTCACACATTTGCCCCATACAAGACGAGTCTCTCTCAGCATGTGAGCCTTTATAGTGTCTCAGTAGAGCAGTTTTACAGTCCTCTGTCAGCTGAAGCTCCAACAGTTCAGAGATGCTGGACGGAGCGGAGTGGGCAGTCCTAGAGGACGCAGTGCCACACGTGACTTTTGTTCCCACTACATCATCACTTCTTCTAAAAGATCTGTTTCCTTGACTGTTTTTCATGTTTCTCTTTTATCAACAAACCTACTCTTCCACTTCATCCACAAATAAAAAGTTCTGTGATATTTTCGTGTCATGAGGCACTTCATGGATTTTCGGTCTTTTCCATCCATGTTTTGTTTGCACCTTTTCAAAATCCATTAAAAGAGGATGGAGGAGAGAAAAGTGGATTGAACCAGAAAAAGGCAAAAAAGAGAGATACTGATTAGTGATGATCTCTCACAGTTTCGGGGTCATTACTGGAGGGGGACAGTCTCACTTCTTCTGGATTGTAGTTCCTGTTTCCACTCATTTCAAGATGATTGCTTCTATTCTTCATCTGGAGCTGCTGGTTTTCTCTCCTCAGCCACACAATCACCACCACTAACACCACAATCACAGCTGCAAGTGCAGTGACCACCAGTGCAAAAACCCACACTGGAACAGCAGCTCCTTTATCTGTGTCCACATCTGGATGGTCAGCTGCAAAACAGACAGACACAGATTTGTAATACAGTGAATTTAACTAAACACCACCATTAAAGCTCAGCAGCAGATTCCTGCTCAGTGAACTCTGATTGGATAAACAGAGAACTATGGTTTAACAACATACCCTTTAATTCACTTCCCCCTGCTGACCCCACGGTCACTGTGTAGATGTGAATGGCCTCTTCATTCTTTTTGTCCATTACAGTATAAACTCCACTGTCAGGTGGAGTCACTCCTCTCAGCTCAAGAACAGCAGATACTCTCCGTGTGTATTCAGGTTTACACTGTAGTGATCGTCCATCCACTGTACAGATCTGACCACTGGATGGTCCAGCTGCCCCTGTGCTGTCATAAATCACCTCCACTTCTTCTGGTATCTCCAAATGCATGATCAGAGGTTCACCGGGCTTTATCTGTGCTGAAGTACGCAATGCTGAAGAAAAAGTGAACTTCATTAGTCTCAGTCTCAGGCATTCTTTCTGTCTACCACCATTTGTGTGTGTGTGGTAATGTGTGGTAGGATGTAGTGCACACTTTGCGGTCATAAATTTCATTTGTTTCTGTTTTTATAGAACAGTTTGTGGTAGGTTTGTGGTTTATTTTGAATTTTTTCTGTCATCAGCCAGGAACCATGTGAGTAACCACACCACTGCAGTGGAGTTAGACTGGGTCACACACTGTTAGGCTGTGCAGCACTGCAGTGGAGTTTGACTGGGTCAAACACTGTTAGGCTGTGCAGCACTGCAGCGGAGTTTGACTGGGTCACACACTGTTAGGCTGTGCAGTGGAGTTTGACTGGGTCAAACACTGTTAGGCTGTGCAGTGGAGTCTGACTGGGTAACACTATTAGGCTGTGCACCACTGCAGTGGAGTCTGACTGGGTCAAACACTGTTAGGCTGTGCACCACTGCAGTGGAGTTTGACTGGGTCAAACACTGTTAGGCTGTGCAGCACTGCAGCGGAGTTTGACTGGGAAATTGTGGATGTGTATGTTTTGTTTGATGCTGTTTGTAGTTTGTTGTAATTGTAACTCATGCTTTGTTGGAATTGTAACTCATCCTTGGGTTTGAGAATTGTGCTGCAAAAACGAAACCATTATTGTTATTTTTTAAACATCACACAAAACAATGGTCTGTGGTCGGTTATCTTCCGTATCAGTGCCAAATAATTTTGTGCAACTGGCCTTTTGATCAGCTCTATACAAATCTGAAGCACTGCATCTAAATCACTGGGGTTCTATAAGCACTACAGAGTAAAGAAAACAGATAAACACTTACGCAGAATCAGAAGCTGCACCTTACAGAGACCTTTATCATCACAGTCACACATGTACAGGGCTCTCTTAGTGAAATCAGCGTCGGTGATGGTGAGAGAGAGATTCCCCTTCAGGTACTGATCATGAATCATCTGATATCCCTCCTTTGATCCACATGAAGTCTGATCACACTCAGCCAGAACATCAGTGGGATTACTGAACACAGTCCATCTGACCAAACCAGAGCATCTCTCAGAGCAGGGCAGAGTAGCAGAGTCATGGAGATTGACCTTCACTTTCACTAAAGGAAGAGCTGATTCAGACAGACAGAATAAAACAAAGGAGAATTGTGTTATAGCTGATGTTAAACTCTTTCTTACGTTCTTGAAAATCCTCAAGTCAGTTGAATGAAGTGTTTGTACTCAGCTGATCACATTCTAGTCATAAAAGTCATTACAACACAGCCTCACAGAGTGATGAAAAGGCACAACTCTCTCTTATAAAAAGTCTTTTTTTTTACTTTCCTCATTAAAATGGTCACAATGTTTTGGCCTGTGTTGTGAAGGCAGCACCTCAACTCAAACTGTTTGACCCCAACATTTGCTTTTTTGTAGCCTACAATCTCTTTCAATATAGTATGTGTGTTCAGAAGATGTTTACATGGTTATTCTGGGTTATTAGCAGTTATTTGCTGGTTTTATTCTGACAAGGACTCTTATTCTGAAGGCAGACCAGCGGCCGAACTGTGTTTATGTTTGTACAGCAGCAAGAACTCGGTCTGTTGGGGCCACGGGCATAACCAAAGACTCTCTCCCCACCCGGGGAGAATATTGGATTGAACTAATGCTTGAGCTAGCTGTTAGCCCAAAGCCCATCTGTGTATGGCAAAGGTGTGGCCAATACAGCTGTTAATAAAAGCACAACTCATTGTGTATAAGGTAAGGTACAATAATTATTTTACTTCTGATGCCATTTCTTAAAGAAAATCAACCCCACAAAACAAAATGAAGGTAAATTCTTTAAGATCTTAATTTCCTAAAGGAGACCAAACAGAACACCTGCACACTTACGGGTAGTGATCAGACATGATGTGATCAGCAATAAGGGCAGCGTGTAGTGACCAGTCCTGCAGGAATTCATGATCTGTTAAAAACAAACAGCAAATTTCAAATATTTATCAAATTTGGTGATAAAAATGCACATTCAAACACAGAAAATGTCCAATTGAATGTTGAAAGCTGAATGTTCTAGGCATGAACGGTCCATGTTTGATTCTTTAGTCATCTATTTTCAATTCAGAAACTGAATTGTTATTTCAATTTTGTTCCAAAATCCAAACATAACAAATGAAACCAAGTCATGTCCATTTTTAGAGCAGACAGAAAATTTTAAAGTGACTAAAATTTCTGACATAACTGGAAAACTGATAAAGCGTCCTAATAATCTGACCACAACATGTCAGACGTAAACAGTGCTAACAAAGCCAGTCCAGTGGTAACTGTGGAGGTGCTAGTGCTAGCTTTGGTAGCAGGCTAACACCCAGGACAGGTTGGATTAAGACTGAAATCTGAGAGCTGTGATGAGTGGCTGGTGTTGGAGTAACAGCTATGGTTGTAGTGAAGGATAAACACACATAAATGCAGTTTACGTCCTTTTAAAATGTGAAACAGCAAACGTCACTCGATTTTTTGTAAGAGTTTACTAGGTTACTGCTAGTTTACTTGTATTTTTTACTGTTTAAAAAGGTGAAAGTTGACATCTTGTTCCAGTGAACACGACTGGAGACACTCCACCTTCACCTCCTCCTTCTTCACCTCCTAGTTCCATTCATTTATGCTTGGAGCTGCTAATTTTAGAAACTCTGAAAGAACCAGTTCCTCGGCTGTTGTGTCTGTGAACACTAAATCATCTATATTTTAATAAAATGAAGTGAGCTTGGTCAAATCTAACTTAACATAAAGCAGACGTACTTATATTATATAAATATTATATATATATATATATATATATATATATATATATATATATATATATATATATAATATATATAAATATTATATATATTAGAACTCAGTGGAGTTTTAATACATTATAACTATTTATTTTGAATATTAAAACTTTTGCATTTGTTTAAGCCTCAATATGGAAGGTGTCGTATTATTATAGTCAGCTGCTGGGATCAGAGCAAACACTGTACCTGTAAAACCACCAATTCACATTATTAACGACAAACTTATATTAATGTGATACCAATGATGGCAGAATTACATTTTAAGTGTGATACGTTTTTGAATAATTATGTTGCATTAAATTTATTTAGGGGCAAGAGGTCACACGGACACACAGCACCTACAACAACAGCCCAAAACTAATACATACCACAGGCGAACTGAGCTGACGGTCGCGCCCTTTCCGCGCATGCGTGTTACGGGACATGTCCTCTCGACCAGAAGCACAGCGCTCACACTAGACTGTGGACCAGACCTCGCGGAAAGGCGAAAGGAGTCTTAACCGTTTAGTCCGTACTGACCGCTAATGAGCCGCTCACAGGACTGACTACAGTCTACAGTGGACCAGATCTGAAGAGCTGAAGAAGACCGGAGTGAAAGATCAGAGACTGGCCGGACCTTAATCTCCTCAGATCTCCCTCAGCGCCTCCCCGGGAGCTTTTTAGTTCATGGAGGAAAAAGCTGAGAGCTGAACTCGGGTAGATCAGCCATCAGCGTCGTTTACATTTTACTCTCTATCTGCTTCAGCTGCTCGGCCGTGTCTCAAATAGCTCGCTAAACCCTGTAAAGTGCACTATGTTAGCATAGTAATTCGGCTTCTTCACTCTAACAGTGCACTGTGAGCAGATTATCACTGGGCACAAGGTAAACTGCTGTTTGTTAGACAGATTATGCGCTGTTTGAGAGCAGGAGGCGTTCTATTCAAACGTACGTGGTGCAGTACGTAGGCAGTGTGGAGCCATTTGAGATTCAGCCCTAGATTTTACTTTCACTTTCCCTTTAGCTTCGTTAAATGGCAGGTTTTTCTTTTTCTCCCTTGTCTAGCTTCGTTAACTGCTAGATTTTACCCCCCTCCCTTGTTTAGCTTAGTTAATTGCTAGATTTTACCCCCACCCCCCGTTTAGCTTAGTTAAATGCTAGATTTTACCCCCACCCCCCGTTTATCTTAGTTAAATGCTAGATTTTACCCCCACCCCCCGTTTAGCTTAGTTAAATGCTAGATTTTACCCCCCACCCCCCGTTTAGCTTAGTTAAATGCTAGATTTACGCCCCGCCCCGCCCCGTTTAGCTTAGTTAAATGCTAGATTTACGCCCCGTTTAGCTTAGTTAAATGCTAGATTTTACCCCCCCTCCCTTGTTTAGCTTAGTTAAATGCTAGATTTTACTTGTTTAGCTTAGTTAAATGCTAGATTTTACTTGTTTAGCTTAGTTAACTGCTAGATTTTACCCCCCCTCCCTTGTTTAGCTTAGTTAAATGCTAAATTTTACCCCCCCCTCCCTTGTTTAGCTTCGTTAAATGCTAGATTTTACCCCCCCCCGCCTGTTTAGCTTAGTTAAATGCTAGATTTTACCCCCCCTCCCTTGTTTAGCTTAGTTAACTGCTAGATTTTACCCCCCCTCCCTGTTTAGCTTAGTTAAATGCTAGATTTTACCCTCCCTTGTTTAGCTTAGTTAACTGCTAGATTTTACCCCCCCTCCCTTGTTTTAGCTTAGTTAAATGTTAAATTTCTACCCCCCTCCCTTGTTTAGCTTCGTTAAATGCTAGATTTTACCCCCCCTCCCTTGTTTAGCTTAGTTAAATGTTAAATTTTACCCCCCTCCCTTGTTTAGCTTCGTTAAATGCTAGATTTTACCCCCCCTCCCTTGTTTAGCTTAGTTAAATGTTAAATTTTACCCCCCCTCCCTTGTTTAGCTTAGTTAAATGCTAGATTCTACCCCCCTCCCTTGTTTAGCTTAGTTAACTGCTAGATTTTATCTTGTTTAGCCTCGTTAAATGCTAGATTTTAACCCCCCCCCTTGTTTAGCCTCGTTAAATGCTAGATTTAACCCCCCCTCCCTTGTTTAGCCTCGTTAAGTGCTAGATTTTAACCCCCCCTCCCTTGTTTAGCCTCGTTAAATGCTAGATTTTTACTTGTTGCCCTTTGCCAGTTTTTCTTGCTTCGTGCTGTTTCTTCCTGTTTCTGTCAGTTAGCTTCTTAGCTTAGCTCAGTCAGAAGCTGCTCAGCTGTTTATCTTTAGCTCTAACTCTATGAAACATAACTACTAACTAAGAGTCGTGGATGTTAAATAGGTAAAAAGTCTGATCTCAGTCTCGTGAAGGTTTGTGAGTTTGATTAACGTTATTTAATTAAATTATTTCAGGCAAAACTAACTAACCAGTCTTATAAATCCTGATGTAATGTTGTGTTTTTGTTGAATAAAAGCACAATTTTACAGGCAGCTGCAGTCTGTCATATTTATTATTAACCTGTTTGTTTTATTAAAAACTAAATATTTACACTAACCTGGCCGCTAACCTGGCCATCTCCACCAGCCAGTACTGATCCCTGATGGATATGAATGAATTTTGAGCTGTATCTGTTTTGTATTAGATAAAATTTTGCGTTGTATACTCACAGTTTGTGGTGCTGGACAGAGGAGACAGACATCACTATCCTGAGTGAGGACTTAGGAATCTGCTCTGATCTAACAGGTGAACTGAGGTCTGGAAAAATGCCTTTTATAATGTCGGTATAGTCAGTGAAGAGGAAGTGGTTACAGCTGTATCTGAGAGCCACTGAGAGCCCCAAAGTTTCCCAGTTTCCTAGAAGGACTCACAAGACCCAAATATTGCAATACTGTACACTTTCTAACAAATAAGACTTTATATATGATTTTAATTCAGTCTCTGTTGATGTTTGGAGAGACCCAAAATATACATTATGGCTGTAAATGATAAGACACCACTGAGAATATACTGTATATCACTTTTTAAAGTGATGCTGTTTAAACGTTAAAAGAAATACTGTAATAACACTGTAAACATGGTTTATCAGTTCAACCTAAAAAACCTCCATGTGGTAACAAGTAAGTGAATTCAATTTACTGGACCCTAAATAAATACTCTGAATGAACGATTCGTTCGCTTTTTGTAAATCATGTTTTCCCAGAAATACAGGTGAACTAATGTTCCCTTCATTTCTTCTTTACCCATTTCCTGTTCTGAACAAAAAAAAAAAAACACTAACCACACCTAACCACTGGGCACATGATGTATACACTGTGATTCACATTTTGGATTCATCTTCATAATTGCAGGTATTTTATTTAATAACTTATACAACGTAGTTTGAAGTGCTAAGACTGACAGCAGAAGGTATTTTTAGACGCTTTAGTGAATGTTTCATGGTTAGATGAACCACATAGAAGTTATTAAATAATACAATACTGTGATTATCAACATATGGCTATTCAAATGTACTGTAATTACGAATTTATACAAGTTTGAATGTATTCATGTTATTTTACGATTAAATAAACAGTCATTTAAAAAATGTATGTGGTTAAACATTCTTATTTGAGGTCTTTTAGGAGTGTTTTATGTACAGCACATCCATATGAGGATAAAAAAAACAAACATTTTTTTCTTATTACAAATGTATTTCTTCATCACGAAAACAGTAGAGCAAAAAACACAAGTCATATTAAGACACCCGTCGTAAAGCCTTTCAGTGTTTGTATAATGTGGATTGACCACACGGGGGCGCACTGGTGTACAAAATGTCACCAAATCACCATCTCAGGAGATGTTCAGGGCTCTCTCCCCTCTGACCTGACCTGGACGTACACTTGTCCAGACCAGCCTGGCACTCTTCACTCCTTTCTCTGCTTTGTTTGTAAAGTTCTCTGCAGCTTTGTTAGATTCTATGAAACGTGTTGTGAACATTTGAACAGTAAAGCACGAGCGTTTTTTGTTTTGGTCAGTTTATCTCCTGGATTTAAAGCGGTCAGATAAGGCAGGGCTTTGTTTTCTGGTTTCATTTGGTTTGTTGTTAGTTTTATTATCATTAGTTGTTTTGTTTGTGCTCATCCCCAAAACTATTCATCTTCTGTGACTTTTAAAAAATTACACATGAGCTGGTTTCTTGTGAAAATGATGCTGATGTTTGATCTTGTGACTGGTCCGAGTAGAGAGTCCACTCTCATTTTCTGACACAGCCTGACCCTAGACTGGGTCATAACGTTCATAAAAAAGTATAGAACTTTCTGTATCTGTACTGTTAGGTGTTCAACAATGTATAACAATACAACATTAATGCAGGCCAATCAGAACAAGTTCTGTGTGTTTGTATTTATTTTAATAAATGTAGTTGTTGAATGGGCTGATACAGACTGAGTTTGCCCTGATGGTCTGGAGGGTGAAGGTCTTTTTAAAAGTATAGTTTGACAGTAATTTGTATTACACACACACACACGCACGCACACACACACGCACGCACACGCACACACACACATCTTGTAAGCTGCTTATCCTTCATGGGTTGTGGGGGGAATCTGTATTGCATACAACAATATTAATAATATTGATGACAACAATGACAATAGTAACAGCAAATATAATACATTTTTATTAATATAGTGCTGTTCTTAAAGGTTATTTTATAATTCAAAACATTAATGTATTCACAAAGAAAAAGTTTATAAACCAAAAAAGCAACACAAAACAAGCATGTTTGTACAGTTTTATGTGAAAGTACATATTTTGTAGAGTTTTGAAGTGAAAAGAAGAAATCAGCCTCTGCAGCAAAGCATTACAGTAACAACCAATCACATTTTCCACAAATGTTGAGGGAATAGTTTGGCAAAATCACATGATTTGAACATGAACATGATTTCTCACTTATAGCTGAGATGCAGTCAAACAGCCAAGACATGTTTGATGTCTGACGTCTGCTTCTCTAGGTTACAGCAGTTTTCACCAAACTATTCCTTTAAAGCACAGTTAACACAAAAATAATTTAATAATAAATAAAAAGTTTCGACACCCTACTAAGTCTAAACTCAGTAATGCCCCCTTGACCAGCTTGCAAACACTTTTTACAGCAGCTAGGACTCTTTCTGTTCCTGTTTTAGGAAGTTTATGTAATGAATTTCTTACAGGACGTTTCTAGTTCTGTGTTTTTTTTTTTGTTTTTTTTTTGAGCCACCTTGTATACACAGCATGTCAAGATTCACCCACAGTGATGCTCACTGGGGGCTGTGAGGGCTTCAGTGAAGCTTCAGCTTGTGTTCCTTGAAGTAGTTCATGGTGGATTTTGAGGTATGTTTTGGATCATTGTCCTTTTGTAGAAGAACATTTTTTTCAGCTTTAGCTTCATGACTGACTGTTATGGCACTAGTTAAGATCGCTAGAGGATTTACAGTGTGAGTCAAGACCAAGACCTGGACATATCGAGTCTGAGTAAAGACCAGGACCAGATGGAGATTTCATCAACATATTAAAATAAAAAGAAAATGAGGAAATTCGTTGGAAATTCATTTATGGTCCTCTGTAAATTCTTCAGCTTGATTATGCATGCTATATGTTGTTTAATAATAATATTATTGTATTTTTACAATTTAACTGTTAAATTTAACATTAAATAATATATAACTTTCTACCAAGG